TAATGGCAATAAACATGACATACACATCTATATAATTCCTATGCATTGTGCACAGTGAGATGTAACACATTATTGATCAATTTCAGATTTGTAAAATGTTTGGCTGTTTATCAAGTGTTTTTATTCTCTGCTCATAAAGGAGTTTAAATCCACAACCTTCACTCAGGAACAAAAATCAGTCTTTAAAGTTAAAGGACATAATGTGACATTTATCATTACAATTGTTGATGTCAGGTGATATTAACATTTGAATGACCTCTGCCAAGGAGGACTTGATTGACAGTTAGCAGGATTACGCAAAAAGAACTAGCCGGACTACAAAGGTATTTTGATGGATGTGGTATGGGTGAAGAACTCATTAAATGTGGTTGCACTTTCTTTGAAATTGTAAGATAGGGCACTTCTCAACATCATTGTTGATTTCTCAGAGAAGTATGTGTGTGTTGAGATGAAAAACGAAAGGAGGTTGATATCGATGATCAGAATAAAAATCTGCATCTTGTATATTTAAAAGTGATTTCATGGGGGAGTCGATTTTTCCCAGTCCCTGTATGGTAACAAACAGGTGTAGAAACCTGCAACTACCACCAGTGTGTTGCTGAAAATAAAACGTGGCCTTAGCTCTGAGGCTTGTTTGATTTTCTAAGGGGCTTTTGGCAATAACTGATGAAAAAGGATAATCGTTGTTATAATTTTCACCCAGCCCTTGTTGTGGTAAACACTACTTTCCTCATTCACTCGCGTGCCCTTCAGGGTCTTATGTTTGACTTACAGACACTTTGCCCAGCTCCTGCTCCACTTGGTCCAGTTTGTTCTGCTTACTGGCGGCGGAGAACAGAGCAGTGGCATAGCGGCCCTCCACTCCATACACCTGGATGGGAGGCTGGAAGGGAATCAAACACAGAGATGAGCTAAAAGGTCCCCACTAACTAACACTGTCTGTAGTTCTGTGGTTGTGCTCCGTGCAGTTTGACATTTACCCTGATCAGCTTTGATGCAGGTCTGACCACAGACGAGCTGAACTGACGGACCTACACATGAGAAGTCACATGTTATCATCACAGACACATCTGAACTGGAACGGATCGACTTTCGGCACGCGCTGTACCATGTACGTTGATGCAAGCTAGCGGGTAGGCTAACATGTTAGCAGTCATTCAAGTGCAATGTCTAGTGCGGGTTTCTTGAACACTTAGCATTAGCTGCCGGTCATCAGAGTGAATGTAAAATTAAATAGGTGTTTTTAAACGACAGCAAATCAAACAGAAGAACTGTAAAATAATCCAAATCCACCAAAATCATTGAATGTCTTACCTGCTGCCCTAGCATGAGTGCTGCCATTTTCTCCTACAGCTGTCCAGAGTAGAACGATCCACTGCGCATGCGCATTTGACAGGAAGCAGTGTAGCTGTGGGTAATGTAGTTCTTCCTGCACAGCACGTTCTAAAAACCTTTTTTAAATCACTTCTTAAAACCCATTTTTATAGACTTGCTTTCATGTGATGTTGTGTTTTTTACTGTTTTTATCTTTTCTCATCACATTCTATTTTTTTTCCATTGTGATGTTATTACTGCTTTTATATATTCAAGTTTATACATATACCAGCTTTATATTTATTCATTTAATTTAAACATGGTTGTCTGGCCTCCTTG